TTTAAAATACTTTATGACAACGAAGCAGCTCACTCGTCGCCAAGTACGTTGGAGTGAGTTCCTTTCTCAATTTGACTTTGTTATCAAGTCAGTGCCTGGGAAAGCGATGGTGAAAGCAGACAGTAGAACCCGGCTTTCTCAAGACCTACCCTCCTCGCCTAACGACCCTCGAGTTCTATACCAGCAACAGTCACTCCTGAAGCCTCACAACTTAGACCCGGCCATTCGTATAGCACCTCTTGAGGAGGAGCTAGAGTCTAACGAGAATGGATCTCATGAATTAGAAACACCTGGAGACTCCCCTGAGCCTGAGGAAGAAGACCTAGACGAACTAGATGATCATAAACTTACTCGGCTCCTCAACGAGGGCTATCAAGAAGACCTATTTTGGATTCGGATTTCCCAGGAGATGAATAGAGCCGACCGTACACCTCACTCAAAGGAAGTAGCCCTGTCAGAATGTCGTATCACCGATGGCAAGCTCTACTTCCGGGATAGACTATATGTCCCAGACACGGAGCTAAGAGTTTGGCTTCTTCAGAAGATTCACGATTCAGTTGAGAGCGGTCACCCAGGCAAAGACAAGATGTTCGAGCTAGTGTCTAGGGACTACTGGTGGCCTAAACTTTACAAGGACATTGGGCAGTTTGTCAAAGCCTGTGAGAATTGCCTTCGGAATAAGCTCTCCCAGCTACGATATCAGGGTACTTTGAAGCCTCTCCCTATCCCAATTCAGCGGTGGAAGGACCTGTCTGTTGACTTCATGGGTCCAATTATGACAGTAGATAGTTGCGACCAGATTATGGTAGTTACTGATAGGCTTACAAAGGATTGCCACATTATCCCATGCCATTCAAAGCAGACTGCAGCTGACTTTGCTCGCTTATTTATTCGAGATATTTGGAAGCTTCATGGTTTACCGGATTCTATTATCTCTGACAGAGGCTCTCTGTTTATTGCAGCATTCTGGAAGGCGGTTTGTGACATATTACGTGTACGAGTCGACCTTTCTACTGCATATCACCCCGAAACAGACGGCCAAACTGAGATCGCAAATAAATCTATTTCCAAGTACCTCCGCCAGTACATCAACTATGCTCAACAGGATTGGGTTCAGTTCCTACCATTAGCTGAATTTGCGATGAGGAACGTGCTCAGTTCAGCTACAGGCATGTCACCCTTCTTTGCGAACAACGGATACCACCCTCGAATGAGCTTTAGCCCCCCTCGGATTCCATCTACTTCCCAGAACGCAGTTGCGGGCTTGATTTTTGCTAAGAAGATGAGGGATATCTTAGCACTCCTACATACAAACCTCATTGCCTCTAGAGACAAGATGGAGGAAGCGGCTAATACTCACCGATCACCAGCCCCAGCATACAGGGTAGGGGATATGGTTATGCTTAGTACCCGAAACATTAAGTCAACTAGGCTGATCCCTAAGTTTGACGCTAAGTATATTGGCCCCTTCCGCGTACTACAAGTCATGAACTCTCACGCATATAAACTGGAATTACCGTACGAACTGGAATCGATTCACAATGTCTTTCATACCAACTTACTACGCCCTGCCGCAGGTGTTCCTATGCCAGGCCAGACTAATCAACCACCACCCCCCGTTGCGGTCGATGACAGTGGATATGTGCTCTGGGCAATAGAAGAGATAGTAAACTCAAGGAGGAATAAGAACAAAGGATTTCAATACCTTGTTCGATGGAGAGGCTACGGGGCGGAAGCAGACTCATGGGAACCATTAGCTCACGTGGTGTGTAGTACTGCCTCTATCCGCGAGTTTGAGAAACGTTTTCCACGTAAGACAAAACCTACTGAGGACGAACGGTTACAAGCCTGGGAGGATTGTGAAGAGGAAAAGGAGNTAGTACTGCCTCTATCCGCGAGTTTGAGAAACGTTTTCCACGTAAGACAAAACCTACTGAGGACGAACGGTTACAAGCCTGGGAGGATTGTGAAGAGGAAAAGGAGAGCCGGGGAAACTGAGAGGGAAAGGGGGATCTTATGTGACAGTTTTTGATTTAGTGAATAAGGGTTCGCTTAGCGAAGTTGTGGGTGTACCCTTCCGTAGATAGACAAATACCTAAGGAATGCGAAGAGCGTCTCTCTTCCCTCCTTGCGAACAATCTATTCCTTGATCCCCACTATAACACTACCTACTATGAACGAGAATGAGAGTGTCTGGTGACTTCTCGTTAACCTTGTAGAGAAACCCCAGCTGCGTGATCATATATTTGGGACAAAGATGCTATTTCTAGTCGCTGGTATGGTCAGTATTACGCTTGAAGCGACCTACCAAACCTCGGACACCAGCAAGACATACTTTGCCTTTAAGTTATGTCATTTCTTCTTTATAGTGGCCATGGCTCTTTCTTTTGGGACATAGTGACAGAAATTATTGTTCATAGGCGATCACACCTTCTCGCTACTTGTGTCTCTACACCCGCCGCTTGATAGAAGTTTGAAATCTCATCCTGCGCTGAGCCTCTAGGGCAGCTGCAAGACAGTCGTAGGGTCATACACGTCATTGACAAGGAGGGCAGAAGTGGGTATATAGCAGAGGAGGACGCTAGAGTAGAGTATACTCGGATTACTAACTATCAAGAAGTTCCAAGAAAGTACCCAGAGAAGTGTTCTAAAGGCTTCTTATATAATAGCTTCGCTTAATCAATCGGGCTATACAGTAAGTTGTTCCAAGGCGTGGAAAAATCGCCACTCCGGTGTCGGCAAGACCTCTTATAAAGTAGAGGTAGTCAATATCAGAGAGAACTTTAGCAACGGCAAGCTAGAACGGCCGTTTCTTAACCAGAAGGCAGCTCTCGATGCCAAATGGCAGTGTTGCCTAAGGACTTGTGATAACACCAAAAATGGCAACTTAGCGAATCGGCTTCGCTAACCTTATGGTGCTGTGAGAGGCCAGACCTCGAATAGCTCAAAGGTGTGGTTTCGAATATTCAATTAAGAAGTGCGTGAAGACTACATACATGCAATCTCTTCCTCTATATATAGAGAGAGGAAGAGTTTCTGGAGTCTTCCAAGAAACTGTTTGACAAATACGTGACGTCAAAAGAATAGAGTAGAAAAGTGTAGAAAAGGAGAAACCAATTTAGCAGTGGAGCAATGGCCAATGCTGAGCGGGGACTTTGGTCAGTGCTTAGCGAGGGCATGGCCCGAGCCTCCATCATGGGTTCCAACCCTCACAGGTGCCACCAGTCATCGGCGAGCTAGAGATTTTAATTAATATCGCTACTAACGTTGGAAATATAATACATTATGTTTGCTAGTAGCTCAAATGTAGCTTTAACAAATTCTCGGAAAATCTTAATATGTTCGATAAGGACGTATCGAAAGTCTTTTATTTTCCTTATCCCTTTCTATTACTTACAAGTAGTAGTTAATGCTGGATTGGAAATTTTACTTATATTATAAATATAACTAAGTTATACACATGTCAATTAATATTATCAGGTTTAATATAAAAAAAAGAAATTCCATCTCCTTCCCCCCTTCAAGGGGAGATAGTGCAAATATATAACAAAATAACAGCAAAAAAAGGTAATATATATGGAGCAGCTGGTGATCGAAACCAGGACTTCCGGACCTTTAATGGGTACGTGCGAATCCCCGGCTGCCAGTCGGGCAAAAAAAGATAGTATCTTTCTTTCCTGGAGCAGTGGAGGATCGAACTCCAGACTTCATCGAACATCTGTGGGCATTCATAATGAATGCACGATGCAAACGAGGCACTCTACCACTGAGTTACAGCCCCTGTTGTGGTGGTTGTTGGATAGCGTTCGGGCTTTTATTTCTGGCTAGATATGAATGCTCTTGCGGAAGTGGGATAAAGGGCTTGGCGTTGGTGAACTTCGGCAAAAGTACTGTAAAAGGTTCCGATTGGCGTGACATTGTGGTACTTATGAATCAATAGATATAACTTTTGTGTGGGGTTAGTAGGACTTGGTAAATCTACTTTCTTACATCTTTCGGTAACTGAGTGTCTAGGTTTTGATTAAACCCTAGTTCTATCCAAGTTTCAGGGAAGGGAACCCATGAATTAATCACACTAACGAGGCCGTTGTTCTAACACTTTCAACCTAGGGAGAAGTCGGTGTTTATATCACGTGACCAATATAAAACCCGAGATTTGAATCTGGGAAACAAGAAAGCCAGAGTACCTAATTAATTGTCCTAGAGTTTCCGAAATACAGCAATATTTTGGATTGACTTACGTCAATAAACGAAAATAGAATTCTACTGCTTTTCTTGTCCATGGGGGGATCTAAACCCCACTCTCATTTGCACAGAGCGGGAAACTAGGCATGCGTAGAACGAGAAAACCATACCCGTTTGTTCTAGAGCAAAATTCTCTATTATCACGAGACTCTCATTAAGCTGTCTCGTTGCACTTGGACCCGCCTATCTCACCATTCACCCTGAGGTAAATGAAGTCTTCCACATCTAAGGGTCTCATTTGCGAAGAGAAGCATCCAATATAGTTACCAGCGGTACTTTCTGCTCATCTATAGTTGTAGAAAAAACTCCCATTTATTTTCCAACTTGCTAACTCGGTCATTTCTATAAGCAAACGAAATCTTGGCAAGTCTGAACTGTGGTTTGTATATTGTAATAGCCTATTTTGAAACCCTCAGATGTACATGTCGCAGTGCCCATCGATCTGACCACCCATTTGCTATGGTATAGTACTCCAACGCTGACTGGTTGCTGGCCCCAGTAGAAGTCGAATCACACATTTTTGTAAGAACCGTATGTCTGCATTGATCCACTCCTGGGCAAAATGGGGTGGGGGTCTTGGGTTGGTGAGTTGGCAGTTTCTCCAAGTGTTACTCCGCACTTACCCTTTACAAGTTGATACAATTGAGCTATATCATATACAGCTGATCTTTTACACTTTTACTATTTGCGTGCTCCCATTCTGATTCCCAAAGATCGTTCTACCCATTTCTCAACGAATTTCGACTCAAAGCGCTATGCCTTCAATAGAAGTCCCCGGAGCCACCCTTCATTACGAGTCCTTCGGGAAAGGGCCTTTACTACTCCTAATCCCAGGTGCTCAAGGAACTGGAGCTATTTTCTACGATCTTGCCAAGTTAATACCATCCTTCACAGTCATTTGCTTGACCCGTCGAGGGTACTCTCAAAGTCTCATTGCCGGCAGTCAGGACATGAATAATCGTCTATCAATAGACGCCAACGATTCACATCTTCTTATCCAAAAGCTTTCCGCAGAGCCAGTAGTAGTTCTCGGATCCTCATCCGGAGCAGTGGTTGCTCAACGTCTTCTCGAACTTCACCCAGAATCTGTGAAGAAGCTCATTTCCTATGAGCCACCCTCCCTTTTCGTTCTACCCGAAGAAATCCGTACTCAGGCCACTGGCTTACTCGAACACGTATATGCCACCTACCGAGAGAAGGGAACAATATATGCCATGGAAGTCTTCTCAAGCGGACTCTTTGATGAAAACGATGCTGTTCTTCTACGGTCAGCCATGGACCCCGCCCGTGGGGACGAAGTTAGAGCCAACACCATGTTCTGGTTCGAATTTGAGCTAAGACAGTACACTTCTGCACCGGTGAACTTGGATTTGCTGGTGGCAGAAAAAGAAAAGTTTATTCCAGCTGCTGGGGTCTTGTCTAAGAATGGACCATGCCTTGGACCAATTTCTATAATGGCACAAAAGATGGGAAAAGAAGTTGTGAAATTGCCTGGAGCCCATGTTGGTTATGCGACTGAGGTAGAGGCTTTTGCAGAAGCTCTGTTGGATTTGCTGAAATAGATGCATCTCTTCGAAAAGCCACAAGTAAGAGACCCGTTCACTATTCAGTACACGCCCTAAGAGCCTGCTATACTAGATTTCCTGAAACAAACAACTTAGTGTTCCAAATCACTTATGTAAACCAAGCTTTATCAATCTGAATTAACCCAACACGCTTGGATAAACGTTTCAGTTGTGAAATCTTACGAGACCTAGGATAATATTGTTCCAACCTAGATGTTTAAGATCTTACAGAGCAATAACCATGTCTCTTACAAATCTTCAAAGAGCATAAAACATAAGCCCCTTGACCTCCACACACCAAGGAACATACTATACCGTCCCACCCCTATTCATCCTCATAAAAAACCAAACACCTGACTTCAATGCTCTGTCTTGACTCTTCTTCTCGATAAGCAGGATCCTCAAAGGCCGAATGCAGTGCCCTTCTCCCAACTAGTTCATCCGAGTCAAAGCATTTGATCAAGAGAACCTCCTCTGTTCCGAGATGATGTTTATAATACCACTTGTGTTTTGGGTTATGTCTCACCACCCATTGCTCGCCAGTAAATCCATTGTCCGTCATAACAGCCGCAACAAGATCCTCATCTGGGACAGTATTGGCATCTGCAACCGCAATCGGGTCTTTTCGAATCTTCTTGATTGGACGCCAGACGTTTATGATTTGGTATCGCCTCTTCAGTAACTCGTCTGCTTCATCCGGCAATTCCCATCTCAAACGTTTCTCAGCCCCAGCATAACTTTGATCAACGTGCGTTTTGGTGACAGGTCCTCGATTCGCAAGGTTTGTGAAGCCCAGATGATGCCATTGTGTTGGTCCACGTCTGACTTTATGATTGAAAACATGAATGCGTTTTGCTCCCGTTACTTCTTTCAACAAATCTGCACACTCGGGGTAGTATTCTGCTTCGATCTTCTTGTCGTCCAGAAACTCGGTTTCCTTGCTTGGCGAATGATGATATTGGAATCCATGCTGGTCAAGAGTGTAGTTCTCTTCATCCCCATTGACGTCAGTGATCAGGAAGGGATGAGTTAGATATGGTCGCTCGTTGACGATGCGGCCTTTACTGATAGTAATGGGGGTTGGTACGGAACCGTCACCTGGGTCATTCCAATAGCTCAGAGAGGTCAATACGTTGTGCTTTCCCTGCCCAAGGAAAGTTTCGGTCGCCATCTCGAAGCTGCTAAACTGAATGAAGTCTCTGAATTTTTAGAGTAATACAATGTATTCAGTTTTTGCAGGTGGGGCCCATATATCTACAGTACACTGCGATTTAGGCTGCACCTGCATTGGCAGTGCAACCCCGCCATCAGGGATTGCAGAATCAATTATCAATCTCGAATGAAGACACGATACTCTTCTTTTCTCTTAGCCATTGTTCCTCTGGGGCGCAACTCTCCTATCTAGCCTTTTAGGATAATTCGAAGGATCTCCCAAACCTCGGTCGAGCAGGAATATGGTCTCTTTTTGTTGGATACGGATCTGGGTGGGTTTCTGTTCTGCCGTGGGTAATAACTTAATCGAGCAACTCCGTAGATAACAAAAGTCGGTCTCTCATATTACCCCTCACCAAGCCAGTCCCCGTCGACCACCCCTCGCATGGCTTAGCAAGCCCCTCAATTCGGTCCCTCATAGTGAGTAAAACTGGTGTTATGGACTAAAATCTTACTTCGAATCATTTTTTAGTTACTTTCAGTCCCCATCTTCTACTACCTTGAGAATGTTTCAATACTCCTTTTAGACCCTGCATACCCAGAAAACAGAGTGTCAAAATCGTCCTGATTTGGCAGGACGGATGCCATCTATACCGTACTCGATTTAGTCATATTTCGACACCTTAGACTTTTATCGAAATTTGTCTACGCACTATCATATTCTTTACCCCTAAGATATTGCCTGGCCAAATCCATGGCTACAGTGGTCTAGACGATTTGCTACTCCGGATTAACAAACCGTCCTCAAAATCGCCTTGAAGCAGCATAGAACGCGTACACAACGCACATTGCAGCATTAACTAGGCCCTATCTCCTACCTCTTGTGGGCTATTTTATTACTAGCTCGGCTCTAATATAACCTGTCATTTTTGTTTATTTATTATTTATATGTATTAGGGACTGAAGCGACAGTTTTCTATCGAATACACTAGCTTATATAGCAAACAACCAGGCAACAGGGCCACGCTATTAAAATTCTCATAGAGGACAAAGAAGTTAGGAGTTTGCCGAGCTGCAGAAGGCCGGGTGGGCAGAAAATGAGAAGTCGCGAGTGATAATCTAAAAGAAGCCTACGTAGTAAGCGAAGTATGAAGCAAAAGTTCATACAATGGATGGAGTATCCAATGAGACAAATATGGATATTATGAAATTAGAGGAGCAAATATTCAATATCTAGCTACAGAATACGAGACGTGGTTATTACTCTATAAACATCTATCTTAGAAAATAGTATGCTAAAAGCCTCGCACCACAGAAATAATTATATATGGTTTAGAATACCTATAATCATTACTCTGTTATGTTTTAATAACTTCGGTCTTACAAAGTAATGAATGACTTTGTCTCTGATAACAGATGCGGAGTAAGGGGCAGGGGCATTTTAGCCCTGGTCGGGTCGCTTTCAGATTCCAGGAGAACGCAAAGCTCGACGTACTCATTTGAGGCAACGATTCGTTCTCTCATTTGTTACTTTCTCCCCAAATACATCATTCGTGAGAACTGTCTCAATGTATTTCTACAAGCCTGTAAGATCGGGATAATTATTTCCGCATTCAACATTCCTTATTTTTTCTGTCCAGTGACTGCGCGTATCTCTCTGCCGCTTGAAATTTGAATTGGAAAAAGAAATTATCGCACTCACAATGGAACCCTAACCCAACCCCTCTTTGTAATTTACTTCCTCCTTCTCTCATGATTTACGTACCCCGTACTCCGTGAAGATGGAAAATGTCTGGAGAGTTGAAGTGTGGAAGCCTACCTGCCATTTTGATGGAAGCTCAGATGCATCAATATTCGATATCCAGTCAATTAATTTGAGACTCAAAGCTCCTACACGTGATAATATCGGCGAAGTAAGTTACCCATTTCCTTTATGCAGAAACAACAGTTGCTAATGCTAATATACAAATTAGAGATTCGAAGTCATTTCTAAATGCACGCGAGACATATTACGATACCCGTACAACGCGATGTTCTGGACCCACCGTGCTATTCAGCTGGCTAGTTGTGGCTACCCAGAACTTGGTGCTAGCGATGCTCGAAGAGCTGACAAATTGTTCAGGGCTATGTTAGATAGCGAGAAGAGCGGAGAGTTGGGACGCAAGGCAAGGAGGGATTTTTATATAACTGGTATAGATTCGGTGATTGATTGGCCTGGTAAAAGTCTTGTAGAGCATCTAGAATCAGGCCCTCCTCTACCTCCCCATCAACGAGAGAGTTTGATCGATCTACATTGGAAGAACTATACCGTTTTAGTTCACTCTATGAACTTGATGCAAGAGTTTCATGGGGCGCACAAAATATGCGAAGGTACGTAAGAATGCAGTTTCCTGTCTTGAAGACATCTTGTTGGATGGTGTTAGAACGGTTGCAGGAATTACTCCTGCTGTTGTTACGAAATATAATGTTGACAGTCGTATCTGAAAGCTCGCGCATATTACCCAAACGAAGGTTTATTTCCCAATGCTCTCGCCTCATCCAAAACACAAATGCAAGAGAAGACTTCCATGTGTGCGAATCAAGGCGTGGCAGAAAGAGCCATATACGGAGAAGTCACTTACCGCGAGTATCCCTTTATGTTACCCAAGCATCTCCAACGAAGTCTCGATCTTGTTCGGAGTATTGACATCAAATTACGTGAAATAGACGCAAAATGTACGCTTTCTACAAGTTCGATCGGTCAACCAGAAAGCCCAGTTTATTCTTTACAAAAGAAGTTGACCTGGATGAATATGGATCACTTTGCAAACCCGTTAAAGCGTCCCTCGGAAGTTCTTGGATTGATTGCAAACTGTGACATCAAACCTGGAGATATTATATTCAAAGATTCAACACCGATCGGTGTTTCCTGCAAGTCGGGTTCCCACATCTGGAGAGGAGAGAAGTTACCAATTTGCGATCATTGTCACGGACTTGTTATGCCTACGAAGCAGAACCAAGGCAAGACGAAAGTCTACAAACCCAAATGCTGCGACGCAAGATTCTGCACCAAAGAATGTCTCGAATCCACACGCTCCAATTATCACCATGTCGTCTGTGGGAAAGATCTCAAGTGGCTCTACAGAAATTCTTCTCCACCTACGAGTGCGATTGCATCGGATTATCAGAATGATGGAGTATTGTGGTTGAGGATCCTCGCTACTTGTGTTCAGAGCGATCTACATCCACTTGATCACTCTCTCATCGCTGCGCTCACGCCCAACTATGGAGATGTGGCGAGACGCTGGTCAGTGACAAGTCATCTGGATGATGTGCACCGCATTTTGACAACTTTGGGCGTTGACATCTTCACGGATATGAGGTTCGATGATTGGGTGTTGCAAACTGTGTGGGCGCATTTAGCGAATAATGTCAGATGTGGTGGAGGGGGAGTGGGGCCTGCCGCGAGGGATCTGAATCCTCTATACTCATTCTTGAATCACGTCAGTATCAGCACTTACGACATCCATTGAGTTTTTTGCTAATAGAGACATGCAGAGTTGCCACCCGAATTCAGAAGTATCCGACAGATTACAAATGGCTACGACAATTACATCTTCAAGCATAGCCATATTCGCCACGCGGTCGATCAAAAAAGGTGAGGAGATATTCATCTCTTACCTAGACTCACAGACACTTCTTGGCAGCGTGGAAGCTAGAAGAGGGCAACTACGGTGGTGGCTTCCTGGCAATTGCAAATGCTCTCGGTGTATACGGGAGTCTTCATCTCCGAAAGCTGCCATGGAGGACTCGTCCCAACCTCGTCCAGTGCCTACACCCAGGTCCCAGGAGTGGGTAATGGAGTTTTTTGCTAAGCGAGCCCGTGGGGAGATTGGCGATGAAGGACATAGCCTCGTGCTTATTCAAACTCCCACGGGATGGGTTAGTATTCCTGGTTAGCAGTGGTCGCAAAGAATAAAATTGATGATACTGGTTTAAGAATGTAGATTAGATTGAAATACGCCGTTTTCAAATCATCGAATCAGCTGGGCTTCTAGCTCAAGTACAGTGAAAGATTTTTCTACTAAGGAGCGAATGACAATTGCTGAATGGGTGTGATTAACGTCCGAGAAACAGAATACAGATAACCAAAAGACTTCGTCAATATAAGCACAATCTTCATTCGCCGTTTGTGAATGCAGTATTCCGCTACTGGAGAAGATGGCGGCAATGAGCCTCAGGAATGTATAGATCGCAAGTGAGCGCATTGTCGAATGAGCTCCTTGATGAAAAGAAAATTGGCGGAGAGTCCTGTTCTATTAGCGTAGCTTCATTATAACTTTTTGAATCTTCTTGAAATGCAGACTGATAAGACCAATCTACCCAGAGTCCTCCTGTGCTGTGGTAAGAAGGAGGTAAAACGCCCTTAAATATCCGAAATATCCAAGTCCTTCCGTTCGACTCATTCTAATAGAAAGATGATAAAGCTTGGCCACGATTATATTCTTGTCCGCCGGGAGGAAAATTTCTATAAACTCCCTCAACTGAACGTTTACTCCGCCCATTTCCATAGCACCAATCCAGCCACTCTAAGCCGCACTCATTTCGTCTTGCGGTGTTATAGGTAACGACTCAGTCTTTATCGTAGCATAAGACTGCTTGAAAAGGAACCCAGGATGCCAAATGTTCATCGCTAAAGAAGCAATAAGACACATACATCCATCAAGAGCAATAAAGGCATTTTCATCCTGCATAATCGGATTCCTCCAACCCCCAGCCATCTCCGCAATCCTATAAATACAACGTATGGTAATCGTGGAATACGCAATCACAATTGCACCCAACAAGCCTTTATATCTTTTGGAGCTTCTCAAGGCGATGGTGGATGCATTGAATTGATCGCGATAACTTCGAATCTTGAAGAATACATCGATGGCCATGAGACCGAAGATTCCTAATGTGGCGACTTGGGAACAGAGCCCCACTGATGAGGCAGTTAGACATGTTTATAGAAGAGAATCGGAATCTAGAACCCATCATTATGTTGTTTCCGACGGCTGGCTTGGTGCCTCGGGATGCGATGACAGCGCCGAGGGCTTGGATCACGATGGAGGCTATGTCTGCGAAGACGAAGATCCAAGTATAGAGCCTGGGAGCTATTCTGGAGAAATTCCGACCGTAAATTATGATTCTGGGGGTATCAGTTGTGTTGTTCTACAGCCTGGAGCTCTTATGAGTCTCTGAATCAAGCACTCGCGACACGCTAAGTATTTGTGATACATAACATACAGACTCTTGGAGGGAATAAAGAGAAAACTCTCAATGTAAATCTAGATGTTTACAGATGTTTGAGAGTCAGATATACACCACCAGCTAAGAAGGCCGGAGCGACAGTTCCTGGGACCAGCATTATGGTGAGGCTATCAGAAAACGTCAGACCAAACTTGGAAATCTGCTGAAAGTTTCGCAATTCTTACTATGTTCTGCTGAAGGGATTATTTCGTAACAGGATTCGACCAACATAGCCTGGACTATGTTAATTTGGTCTGATCAAAATGGATGGAGTGAAATTTACCAACTGCTTCACCGAAGGCTCCAACTCCGAAAGCTAACATGAAAGTCCATGATCTCGACCTTGCGCCTTGAAAGAAATGCGCCAGACATGATAATCCAAAGGCGACCAAGAAAAAGTAGTTGGCGGCTTTGTTTGGTAAATAACCGTAAACCTCGATGGGCGTCAGCAAACGGAAACAGAAAACTGCGATACCGCTCCCTTCAGGAGAAGGCAAACATGATTGAAAAGACTCACAGAAGCAGAAAGTGGACAAGTCTCGAGGGTACAATCGGCGTATTTTGATTCGCGAGCCTCCAGTAGAGAGAATACGGTCTCAATCATCGTGAATGATAGAGGATGAGCCCAAATCATTCCTGATGTGGAAATGGACAAGAGACAAAGACTGACTGGCACATTTCAACGACGGGACGGTTCCACTGCCTAAATATAATATTCACTTCCACCAACCAGCTGCTGTTACGAACCAATACTCTGATTGTTATGTCGCTTACCACCCAAGTACGCAGAAAGCGTATAGAAAATGCTTTCATTGGTTCGATTATACAGGGAAAGACTGCATCGGTTAGGAGATCCGCGTAAAAGCATCCAATGAGAAAGGTTGGTCGTATTTCGTATTTCGTAAGGTGGCTGTTAGTAACCCTCTCCGACAAGATGGAAAATCGACTTTTCGCGAAAACGGGCGTATATTACCTAAATTTATGTAGTATAATACCTACTACTACTACTATATATTTTCCAAACATATACTTCGATAATATAAGAATAAGAATATAAAGCTATTCGCGTATACTAAAATTGTATATATTCGATAATTTATAGAGTTATTATATACTAAAAACCACTGGAGGAACCAAGGACTTGTATAAGGCTAAATTCCTTGAATTCCTTGCTACTGTTTCAACTACAGACCTAGTAGTCTACACCGACGGCTCTCGCTTAGACGACAAGAGAACCGGGGGAGGCGTTTGTCTTACAAAGGGAGGAATTATCCTTAACACGAAGGTCTACTCCTTTGGCAAGACACTTGAAATCTACGACGCAGAGGCTAGAGCTGCTCTACACGGCCTAGAACTAGCTATTTCCTCTACTTCCTGGCCCTCGGCAAGGACGTGCTGGATTTGCCTTGACAATCTTGAAGCTACACTTCAACTGACCTACCGGTCCTGTGGCACCTCGCAAGGGACCTTTAATAGGGTTAACGAGTTAGCTCTTTTATACCCTGGGAAAGTTCAAACCAGGTGGTGCCCTAGTCACATTGGAATTCAAGGGAATGAGATTGCGGACAGAGCTGCGGGAAGAGGCGCTCGGCTACCTCCTCCTGACCCCCCTTCTATACTCTGCACTGCTACACTTAGAAGAGAAGTTAAAGAGACAGGGGTTCAGCTTGCAAAGAAACTCTGGAAAACCACGCTTCCAAGCTTATACAAGGACCTAGGGCTTAACAACTGGTCTTCGAAGCCTCAATCACTTCGCTTACCAAGGGAGGTTCTTGCTCGCTTAATTGCAGCTCGCTCTGGCCACGGTGACTTTACTCTTTATCACCTTCGCTTCTTTCACCTCGACACGCTACTTACTTCAGGGGAGTGTAAGTGTGGAAGAGAAAAGACTCAATTTCACCTACTATTTTGCCGGCTAGCAAATAGAGTAGCCCCTGAGCTATTTGCAAAGGCTCAGAGGAACCCTCAACTCCTCTTCGGACCACAATGCGAGGAACTGTTTCACAAGATCTACTATAAGACAAAGTTCTACTCTAGGATCTGTCCTCCTAGATAGTCCTCTTCTTCCTTACACTATATCTCCTCTTTCTACTGTTCTTTGGTCTCTGTCTTATATAGTTCTTCTCTTGTTCTCTACTCACTATCTTGTACACTGTTAACTTATTTTTACTCTGGCTCTTAAACTAACTCAGAATGAGAGCTGTTCCGGAAGTGGGGCTTCTCTTTAAACTATCTCTTGTAAATTAGCGCACTTTCATTTACACCCCCTGTAGCCTAGGGCACCCCCCTAGCGTCATTTGCCCAACAATGGGACTTTTAGGACCTAGCCCACGCGAGTTAGATTCCGCCTGACGTTAAATAGTAATAAATAAATAAATAAATATACTAAAAACCAAGTTTTTACTTCTACTAAAATATTATTCTATACTATTATATTTTATATAAAATTCTATTCCTTTAGTAGACTAGGTTCGAAATGTGTACTACTACTATAATCTCTAGTTTACTTCTTTTCTTTTTTCTTATTAGGTTTTATATATTATTATTAACTTTTATTACTATTAACGTGCATGTATAGCGAACCGGCCAAACAAGCGAACCGGCCAAAACCCGGCGACCCCACCACACCTCCACGAAATATTAAATTTCTCTACAACGAAGGATGCCTCTGAAAAATGACGAAAGCCGGTTAGTCTTAGCTATCCAAGCTATGCAAAAAGACCCAAATTTACGTGCTCGAGCTGCTGCCAGGACCTATTCTGTAGACCACGGGAAGCTAGGTCGACGTTTGCTTGGTATACCTTCACGACGCGATATTTTAGCCAATTCACGGAAAATGACCGAGCTAGAGGAATCAGTACTTGTTCAACATATCCTCGACCTAGCTACAAAAGGATTTCCTCCGCGGATATCTGTAGTTGAAGATATAGCAAATCGACTTCTTGAAGCACGCGACGCGCCACGCGTCGGGACGCGTTGGGCTTATAACTTTGTTAAGCGCCGCCCAGAACTCCAGACACGCTTCCAACGAAAATACGACTATCAGAGAGCTAAGTGCGAAGATCCAGAAGTCATTCGTGGCTGGTTTGAGCTTGTACGAAACACAATAGCGAAGTACGGAATCTACGATGCAGATATCTACAACTTTGACGAGACTGGGTTTATGATGGGCGTTATCTCAACTGCAATGGTTATTACAAGCTCAGAAGGACGTGTAAAAGCAAAAAGAGTACAGCCTGGTAATCGGGAATGGGTTACAGTAATCCAGGGGGTTAATGCCCAAGGCTGGTGTGTTCCACCGTTTGTGATTGTTGTCGCAAAAGATCACCTCGCTTCTTGGTACCAAAACAGTGGATTTCCACCTAACTGGGTGATTGCTATTACTGAAAATGGTTGGACAACAAATGAGAAAGGCATGGATTGGATTCGACATTTTGAGAAGCATACAAAGTCCCAATCTATTGGTGGTTATCGTCTATTAGTCCTCGACGGCCATGAAAGCCACCACTCCGACGAATTTGAGGAATATTGCAAGGAAAACAACATTATCACTCTTTGTATGCCTGCTCATTCTTCTCATATACTCCAGCCACTCGACGTTGGCTGTTTTAGCCCTTTGAAAAGGGCATATGGTCAGCAAATTGAAGATATGATGCGGGCTCCGATCATCCACATTACTAAGGATGATTTCTTTCCTGCCTTCCACGCCGCATTTAATATTGCAATGACAGAAAGCAATATCCGAGGAGGGTTCCGAGGGGCTGGGCTTCTTCCATTTGACCCAGAAAGTGTAATTTCTACACTTGATCTTAAGCTAAAGACGCCAACGCCTCCAAACTCCCCCCCGTATTCCGCTCAGCCTTGGGTTTCCCAGACACCAAATAACCCTACTGAAGCCTTATCACAGACTGCATTTATTAAAGATCGAATTTTACGCCACCAAAGTAGCTCTCCAACCCCTATTTACGAGGCCATTGACCAGTTTACGAAGGGTGCATCAAAAGTAATGCACCAGATAGTACTATTGAAAGCTGAGAACCAGAGACTTCGACAAGCAAATGAAGTACTAAGTAAGCGCCGTAGAGCTAAAAAAACACGCCTACAGCAAGGAGGATCACTTAGTCAACAGGAAGCGCAGGACCTACAGGATGATAGAGACGTTGGTGAGCAGGTAATGCAGGAAATAAAGAGAAGTAGTGGTCGGAAGCCGAGGGAAGAATCACGTGCACGGCGCTGTGGCAACTGCGGAGAGACTGGTCATAATACGCGCACCTGTAATGTTATAGAGGAAGTATCTGAGGAAGAAATTTCTGAATAGTGTTTTTTAATTAGAGGCGTTGTGGTAGAGTTCTTACAATTTCAATCGCGAGTGTAGAAAATTTTGGCCGGTTCGCTTGTTTGGCCGGTTCGCTATACATGCACGTTATATAAAGATTAGTTTAGATTATTAATAACTACGCGTTTAATTATATTTCTTTTAACTTTACTCTTGTTACGGAGTTGGAGGGACAAGGGATAGATCACGTGTAGCACGGCACGTGCGTGTTGCTCAAATCTTGTACATAAGCGTCCGTTCCTCTGGAACTCTCTTCTTCCCTTACTTTGTTATTCGCTCAATATAGCAGTTTACACTTGACTCCGTATCTTATCACAGCAAGTAGTGGTTTACTCCACACGTTTACAACTCTTATAAGCTTAAGAACTACTTTCTATTTCCTTTTTAGTTTCTAAGACTAATCTCTTTATAGTATTAATTAAATCGATTTTACTAATAAAAGTTATTATTTTCTTAATAATATATTCATTCTAGGAGTACTAAAATAACTATAAATAAAGATAATAGTAAAATTAAATATATAATTAAGTTATACTTACTTATATTTCCTTAAATAAGTTATAGTTCTTATTCTTTACTTTAAGCTAGTCTACCTTAATCTTATTATATATTACTCGAGTATTGTTATTAAGATATTTTATATTATTATAAAATACTACTTCCTTTTATAGTTCTACTAATACCTTAGTGTCACGAATCACGTGCTAGCACGTGAGGAGTTAGTCCAGACGGGGTTCTGACAGGACAAACGCATCATGGCTCTTATAGCAAAAGGGGATCGCTTAGGTTAGTTAAGCGATTCAGGGATTTCTTTGTATATAAGTCACGTGATATATGCAGGTCGACTTCTCGCCTGGTCGAGAAGTCGATTATCGACTATGTCGACAGTCGGCATTGTCGACTTCAGGAACACGAAGGTTCTATATAAGACTGGCACGTCTGCCATTAGATAGGAGCTTCGTGCTCAACTTAGTTATCAA